GAGGGAGAGAGATGTGTTTATGAGATGTTCCCCTACGTCATACGGGGGACATGTTGCCATATACATGTCTTGTCATATGCATATCAAGTCCGTTGCTCATGATGGAAGGTGGTACTCCAAGGGGCTTGCTCCACTTGTTCAGGCATAGGACCAATATGAGAAGTACCGAACGGGTGATATGATATGGGTGTAGACCACACAGCACAGATGCAGGCAGTGGACATCAGCACGATCCCACTGGTGCTGAGTAGCTAAATGCCCTCCCTGCTTCCCTCCGTCCCACCACCCAACAAGTAATCGTTGGCAACATCTGAGACGTAGTTGGTTGTCTCAACTGGTGGGGATGTTACCGGCCTTTATTGAATAGAGGCCAGGAGCTTTTTTGTTACACATTCCATAACGGTCAGAACAACCTCACTCCCTACCCCAACACATCATTACCCAGCCCAAATCATCACCCCATCATCGTTACTCACATCATTACCCCAGTTGGGAAATCAATAGTGCCCATGTTGATAAACGCAGTTCTAGAGTCTGAGGCTAGAGTTGAATTTCTTGTAATGGACGGACTGGCCAGCAGGGGCCTCTTCTCTCCCCTTCTCTCCTTGCGGCATTTAGCATCTCTTCTTAAATACATGTTTGAACAGATATATGAAGAATATTATATGAAGGGACACTAATTAATTAGCCTGTACTGGATGCTCCTTGGTCCATGTTTGGCTGGGTCCTTGGTCAGGTCCTTTAAGAGGTTTAAATGTGTCATTTCATTAGATCTTTACATAGCCCTATAAAACTGAGGGCAGTATTAGGATATTTCAAAAAAGAAGGGGGAAAAATCCAAGATTCTGCTTTTAAGTGACTCTCTCCTGGTATTATTTAGAATCAAATGACATAGCAAGCACCATCTTCATAACATGGTTGGTTTTTCTGGAACGTGGAAATGAACCTTATTCTGCACCTAGGAAAAGACTGGGAAACTGATACTTGCTAGTGACATTTCAAAGCCATAGATTTACAAGAATTGACAAATAGAATTATTTCAGACCTGGTTATTATGGAGAGAATGAGCTTGAAAATCCATGCACGGAGTGCTTCCCACCTTTTAACAGCATGAGGGATGATACATTGCCGTATACAAAGAACCGTAGCTTTTTCTTTCTGGTCCTTGTATGTGTGGGCACACAATGCCCAAGGAATGTAAATATCCTAAGACTTGAGAGCCTGATTTGTTAGATGGGGCTGGTGTATTTCCTTACCTACCAGCTTGATTTCTTCAAGTCTGACTGTAAGATCTGATCTCGATCCTGTATCAGTTTTGAAACTTAGGCTCTGCCTTAAGTATGTTACACATCTTAATTCATTGATGAATTACAATTATTTCCATTTTATGGACAAAGAAACTGAGGTGAAGGGAGATAACTGCCCAGTCTCAAACCAGGGCCGAGCCTGGATTTGAACCCGGAGTTTTATGCCATTATGTTGTGCAATTCCTCTGTGCTAAAGTGTGGCAGGACAGTGTGGTTGGACATGGGCTTTGGAGTTGGCTAGAATGCAGACTCTGCTACTTCCTTGCCAGGTATTCTAACATCTTAAAGCTATCTTTATTTATAAAATAGAGATTAAAAGCCATCTCCAGTTTTGTTGTAAGTACAGTTAATTCTGGATATTTGTTGCTGTTATGTTCTATAAAGTAGTTGTGAATGGTGAATTAGCAAATACCGAACTGTTGCACCTAAGAGAAATATAAGTTTAGGTTCCTATGAGCTTGTGGTCACAACATTATGGTCAACTAATTAATGAACACATACTCTTATTTTATGTGTGTTTCTTTTTAAAGTCATCTCCCAATGTACATTCTTGTTTCATTAACATTGGACAATAGTGCCATAACTCATAAATAAACGAAGCTTATCTAACACATATAATATTTTTCCTTAAGACATGGTGTGTCCTTCGTATACTTGGGAACACTAGACAGTATTTCCACAGCATGCTTGGGCCATTCTAAGTAGCAAAATCACCAATAAAGATCACAAAAATGTGAAAGATATGATATAAATAGACTGCAAAAAGGGCACTTTATTGATTATGTAAGGGCTAAAATATAAGAAACTACTGAAAGTTTTGCCTTGTTTGACTTCGGCTGTGAATGCATGTGTCGTCCTACTCAAATTTTCATCATTCTGTGCCTGTCTGACAATGACTGCAAAAGCGCCATGGGTATTGATTGGAATCACAAATAAGTTTTAGCAAGAAGGTGAATTTGCATACGCAGAATCTGTGAATAAGTGAGGGCTGATTCTGTATACCTATAGAATACCTATAGAATACCTGTAGTAAGTACAGGTAAACTAAAGTATATATAGTGTGTTACTGAGAAGCACATGGAAAGTGTGAACTAAAATAAAATCCCAAGTCCCCCTGCTGACTAACAGACCTCATGTTGGTCAAGGAAACCCCAGAAAAACCTTAAAACGGAGTTTCCAGCCACGAAGGGAAGGGAGGTTGGACATGCCTTGGGTTATATTCCCTCCCTTTCGGAGTTTATATATAACAATGAACCAGCATTAACATAAAAATGGAGATAAGACTGATAAAACAGACTCCTTGTGACAATGAGATACTAAATTATTGACAGGACCTGAGGCCATGCAGGGCAAAGGTTAAATCCCCTGCAAGCCATCAATGTGCTTAACAGGTCACTTGAGTGGGTATACCATGGCTTGTCTCTGATCAACAGACTTCCTTCACTTAAAACACTCCGAGCTTTTAAACAAAACTGTGTTTCTTTAATTACAAATCAAAGAGTCCGTAAACCCACCTATGATCTGTAAGCCCTTACCTGGAAATGTCCCACCTTTTTGGGCCAAACCCATGCATATCTTCCATGTGTTGGTTTAAGATTTTTACCTGCAATTCCTGTCTCCCTAAAATGTATAAAATCAGGACCACTTACTCCAGACTTCTTGGACATGGCTCTCTGGGCCATGGTCACACACATTCGGTAAACCTCTCTAAATTATTTTACAGAGTTTGGGGTTTTATGCCACTAACAACAGTGTTCAATACGTGGCAGCTATTTTTGTCATTTTAAATAAAGGTGTGCTAAGAATCAGTTCCCTTCTGGGCTGTTCTAAGCTGGCCTCCTGTGGACGGCTGTCGTCCAGAGGAGATGAAGCAGCTGCAGGACGTAATCTTTCCCTGGGCTGTCTTGGATCTACCTGCCGTCTTTACTTAAGAGTGTGAACTAGGAGGCCAAGAAGTGGAATATAGTAGACTGTGGAGGGTGTACTGTAGAACGAGAGAAGAGAAGGGAAAGTTCAACCCTGTATCTCACCCTGCATCCTAGGGTTTCTGCTTTATATTCTGCCAAAGTTTTAGTAAATGTTTCTCAAAGTGTGGTCCCCAAACTAGCATTGTAGCGTCAGTATCACCTGAGAACTTGTTAGAAATGCAAATTCCTCCCACCCTAGACCTTCTGAATCAGAGACTTTGTGGTTGGATCCAGCATCTGTGTTGGGAAGGCAGCCATTCTGAAGCAGGCTGAGCTTGCGAACCACTGCCCTGGTTCCTAAACTCTTTACTGAAGTCCTTAAGTCACTGAGTCCTCCTGATCACCAAGTACTTTGCAGACCACAGACCCCCTGTGAGATATAAGTGTTTAGTGCCTCTTTTGTGATGATTAAAACTTGCTTGGATTTTTCTTGGATTGCCTGGGGGCCTAATCCTTTTGTTTGAAAACAGCTCCCTGTTTGGTCTATGATAATTTCTGAAACCTCCTTATTAGGTTTCAGCTTCTTAGTTAATGGTTGAGGGATGGAGCTTTTTTTTTTTTTTTTTTTTGAATTCATTATTATGCAAATACCTACCAGCCTCCAGGAAGATAAAGTGTGTGAATGAATTTCTCTTCCAAGCTCTAAGGCATATGGATTGCCAAGATTTTCCTTTCATTTGCAAAGAAACAAAAACCAAGAAAAACCAAAAACCAAAAAAAACCTTTTAGGCCATTTGATTTTTCTTTTTTCCCTACCTGTTCGCTACCCAGAATTTCTTCATGGGTGTTGACGACTCAGACTTTTCAGACTGATGATATTCTATTTGGAAGATCTCCAATTTTTTCAAGTTACTTATTTCCGCGTTTACTTCACCAATAGCAATGAGGCCATGCTCTTTGCTGGGCACTCAGCTAGATGCTTGAAGACCCAGTGCTGAGCATGACAGAGGAGAGGCCCAAAGTGCTGTCATAGACAGGCCCCGGGTGCTGGGGAGAGACCGCCAGGGTCAGGGAGCACAGAAGACAGCTAGACGGCATCTCAGTATGGCCTATTTTGTGGTTCCTTGAGCCACATTCGATTCTTAAGGCAGTGTGTGGCCCCTGGGGGCTTGGCAGTTATGGTAGCAATGGACATATTTTAGTTTCTTGAGACAGTTTTGAATGATGACAGCGCTACCATTTTAATATGCATGTCCATCTTTTCAGGACGGGAAGCCCTTATGTTTCATCATCGGAGGGATTCTTGGAGGTCCTCCAGCATGACCTTCCATCTGCTTTGAGAGTATCTGCACCGGGTGTGTGAGAACAGCTTAGATTGGAAGCTATTTTGGAGCGTCTCTGCTGGGGGACAACATCTTCGCTTGAATTAAGCTGTTACGTGACTGTGTCGGAAACACTTGGTCTTCAAAGAGGCATCAAAGGAGTTTACCTGGTCCACACCTTAGAATTTCAGTTGTTTAAAGTCAGCTGTCCCGCGCGGTTGACGTTTCGACAGGGCTGTCTTCACGATAACAGTTTAACAGGAAGTAGGAAAGCTTTCAGATGCATTTTGGTGTAGTTCCCGTCAAACTGTTGTCGTGAAGAGAGCCCTGTGGAAACACAGCCGCGCGACAGCTGACTGACTTCAAATAGCTGAGGTTCTAATGTGTGGATGAGCTAGAGTCCTTCGATGCATCCTGAAAGTTTCCAATACGATCTATGTGGATTATATTTGAGGTGAGCGAGTTTACTGAGCACTTTCCAGTATTGATGAAGTAGCATCTCAAAACCACTGATTATTATTATTTTTTTTTACCTTGAGCACAAAACTTTAAATGAAACAGTTTTTGAATAAATCATTCATATAAGATATGATTGTTAGGGCCTAGCATTTTGGGGTACTTCTTGCACTATGCCAGTAGGAAGATTCTCACAGTCTTAACCTGGATTCCTATTCGTTTAGTCAACTTTTAAAGCAGAACATTTTGTCAGCTTAAGATAGAATGAAGTATTTGAAATACATTCCATTCCGTGTTTTTTTCTATAGAATGAATTATTTGGGGAAAGGTCTTGAGTTCTATTCATTCATCTTTCCGTCACTTATTAAGCAGAAGACACGACAGTGGATAAGTTCAGGAGATTGTTAGGAGGATTGGGTGAATGATTTTGGGTTTGTGTTATCGCTCCTTTCTCTGGGGTAAGAAACAAACCCTTGGAAACAGTTATAGATAATGACCTGGATGGAGGAGGAAGATGAGACTATTTCTGATATTTTGGTTTTGGGGATGCCTATGGAATAATTAAAAATAGATTCCCCAGAATATCTGGACTATTTCAATCCTTATCTGATGTTTAGGAGGGAGATGTGGTCTGGTAATACTGATTGGGAGGGGTTCAGCCTATGAATAGTATTATTGAAAGTCTGAAGAGGAGAATGGCAAGAAAGGAGGAGTCAGGGGAGAAGAAAAGAAGGGGGACAATGCAGGCAGGTACAACTCTGGCATTTAAAGGATGGAGAAAGGAAACGGAGACTCAGGAAGGGAAGGTGCCTGACAAGCAACAGCTGGAGAGAGGTGGGGGAAAACGGGAGAGGGCGTGGGCTCCTGGACCCACACTCCACTGGTTTCCTTCCACTTGCCTAACTACTTCTCTGTCCCGTATTTTCAATGGTTTAAGCAGACATTTGTCAAAGAAAATGAGGACAGACTTCAGTGGAATTCTTTTTTATTTTTTTTAAAAAAATGAATAATTTTTTATTATGGAAACCTTCAAGCATATGAGGAAGAAGAAGATAGGATAACATGATAAATGCCCATGAACCCATGATCCAGCCACAATAATCACCATCATGTTTGCATTCTTGTGAGTCCTCTTATTTTTTAATGTTAGGGCCTATTACAGGGCCTGGTTCATTGGAAGCAGTTAGTAAATATTTGTAGAGTAAATAAATGAATAAATACAAAGGAATCAACAGCGTGTGTTACACTATTTAGGGATGCAAAGGAAAAGCACAAGGCTCAGGGCCACTTCAGAGAGTCTGTAGTCTGGTTGACTGGCGCGTTTGTGAAGTCACAAGACGCAGGTCAGACAAGCAAGGGGTGTAGGTTCTATTGCTGCTGTCACAGATCCAGGGACATTTGTCCATACACTCCTCGTTCCAACGACAAGCCTGGGGCACTTGGAAGCAGCACCATCTGAGCTGCATTTGAATTCTCACTCCGCCTTTACCCTGCTGTGAGGTTTTGGGTTCGTTGTTTAATTTAGAATAATCCTTCTCATGCATACCCTTTACTGTGGACCCCCCCACACACCCATTTTCCTGGGATATCTGGAGCATTGCTTCCTCTATGAAGCAGTTCCAAATATTTCCGCAGCAGGAATGGCAGCTCCTGCTTCTAATCTGCCCGCGGCACCTTTGCTGCCCTCCTCTCCCGCTCTTAGTTCCCTTCATATGGGGAGTGTTCTTACCGTTCTATCTTACTCGAATGTTCTTCAGATTAAATTTTGAAAGTGAAATGATGTCTGTGAAGAAATATAGTTAAAGAATTGAAGCCTTCCCCAAAGAAAAGCTGTACCAAGGATGGCTAATGGGACGGTTGGTTTCGTGTGTCAATTTGAGGCTGGCCTACGGTGTCAGGTACGGGGTCAAACATACCTGGACGTTGCTGTGAAGACACTTTTTACATGAAACTGTCATTTAAATTAGTGGAAATGAAATTATGATAGGAAGGCAGATTTCTCTCCATACGGTAGGTGGGTCTCATCCGTCAGTTGAAGGCTTTACGAAAGCAAATGATCTATCCCAGAGAAGAAGGAATTCTGCCAGAAGACTGTCTTTGGGTTCACACTGAGACATTCACTCTTGGGTTTTTCCTGGGTCTCCAGCCTGCTTGCCTAGCACGCAGGTTTGGGACTTGTCAGCCACCACAATTGGGTGAGCCATTTCCTTAAAATTAATCTCTTTCCCCTTTCTCGCTTTCGTTCTCTCTAATGAAACCCCCCCCATAGATAGATACATACGTGTTTATATATGAGAATGTGTGTGTGTGTGTGTGTGTGTGTATGTATGGGTGTGTATATATATGAGAGAGTGTGTATATATATACACACACACACACACACACACACACACACACACACACACACACATCCTATGGGTTGCCTTTCTGGAGAACCCTGACTAATAATACATCTAACATTTTTTAAAATTTCAGCATATTATGGGGGTAAAAATTTTAAGGTTACGTATATTGCCCTTGCCCCCCTCCCCCCACAAGTCTGAGCTTCAAGCATGTCCATCCCCCAGACGGTGCACATCTCGCTCATTATGTATGTATATACCCATCCCCTCCTCCCACCTGCCCAATACCCAACAAATGTAGTTCCTATGTGTCCACTTAAGTCAGCACTTAATTTAATATTGGTTAATACCAATATTTAATGGTTAATTTAATTTAATTTAATTGGTTAATACCCATATTAATTTAATATTGATTAATACTAGTTTGCTGGTGAGTATATGAGGTGCTTATTTTTCCATTCTTGAGATACTTCACTTAGTAGAATGGGCTCCAGCTCTATCCAGGAAAATACAAGATGTGCTGTAACATTTATTCACCACTAATCCCATCAATAAATGCTATACAAATATTATCTAATTTAACCTTTATAACAGATTATGAGACATATACAAGTACTATTCCATTCATAGGCAAGGAGATAGAAATCTAGAGACGTTAAGTATTTGTCCAAGTTCATGTAGGTATTAAGGAACAAAAACCAGGATTCGAACCCAGGCCTGTCTGACTCCAGGGTCCAAGCTCTTAAGCAACCCATTTTATCACCTTTAAAACTCATAGTAAGCACTACTTGCCTCGAATTACCTAAACGACCTTTCTGTTAACAGAATATATATCTTCCTATAATTACAGTGAAATTGGCTCCTTTTTTTGTCTTAAATATCTTTTTATCTGCTGCAATTATCTACTTGCCATTGTTAGAGAAGACCTGGCTAGAGGAAGACATTTGTTGCTCCTGAAATTGAAACAAACCTGCATTACGGCCAAGCACCTACCTCAGGGCCTGAGATAAGGCCATTAACATAAACATCGGATATTACTTGATTTCTGAGGATTTTCAAAATTGAATTTCAAAACCAGAATGCATAATAAAGCTGAGCAGTGTCCCACTCATTAAAAGCAAAACACAGTGTATTTGCATTTGGGCTTGTTTGCTTGCTTATTTACTAACTTGTTGTTTTTTCTTTTTTGGGGGGGTGTGTTTGGGGGCTTTTAGCAGCCTAAGAAAAATTGACAAGGAACGGTTCAGTCAATCCTGGTTAGTGTTATGTCCAAGGATAAAACATTTCTACCTATTTGTTTATAATCACTTAGGGATATTTCACGAGACGTTTCCAGAAGTGTAATTGCCCAGTGAAAGTGTATGGACTTTCTAAATGAACTTCTTTGGTACTCAAACAGTGTGTTGGTTTTTTTTTGTTTTTTTGTTTTTTTGAGACAGGATCTCATTTTGTTGCTCAGGCTAAAGTGAGTACTGTGGCGTCAGCCTAGCTCACAGCAATCTTAAACTCCTGGGCTCAAGCAATCCTCCTGCCTCAGCCTCCCGAGTAGCTGGGACTACAGGCCTGTGCCACCATGCCCGGCTAAGTTTTTCTATATATATTAGTTGGCCAATTAATTTCTTTCTATTTTTAGTAGAGACGGGATCTCGCGCTTGCTCAGGCTGGTTTCAAACTGGTGACCTCGAGCAATCCTCCTGCTTTGGCCTCCCAGAGTGCTAGGATTACAGGTATGAGCCATCGCGCCCGGCCTTAAACAGTGTTTTTAACACACATTCGAAAATTGTTCTCCAAAGTGGTTGTGGTGGTTGCCACTACGGCTCACTGAATATGTGGTCCTTACTAGTCTTTTAAACCCCCTTTGTGCTTTGGGAGGGCCACGTGACTAGTCCTAGACCATGAATTGAGAGCAGGAGTGAGAAATGTCATTTCTGGGCTGCAAGATTTAATGGCCAGTGTGAGGCGCTGCAGGACTCTCTTCCCTCTGCATGGGGCCTGGTGACAGAGCCCCAGCCTGTGGACTCTTTTGATGATTGTGAACTTGGGGGGGGTGGCGAGAAACAAACTTTTGGTAAGAAAAGCCTCTGAAATTCAGGATTAGGTACTACTGCAGCGCAACCTACTTTGTCTTCTCTGCTATAATGGTTGTGTAATTTATAATGCCACTAGCAACATTTTTCTTCAATTTAATTTTGTGACCAGGTGTCATGTTAACGTGATTAAAAAGTAATCTTGAGAGTTCTGGTGCCTAGACTCCTATCGAACCTCATCTCTCATCTGCATGATTTTCCCATATGCCCAACCTGACATTCATGTATTAGGTGTTCAATTAATTAGGTGACAATTTAGCGGCTGCCCAGAGGCATCTGCAGGGAACGGGACCTCTCCTTTCGGGGCCGTAAAGCAAACTGAGGGGTACTTGGACGGTGAGCTCCCTACCCGCCAGCCCTCCCAGGTGCTGCTTGCCTGGTGACTCCAGGAGAACGGGGCAGATCCTGGGGCGGAGAGACATCGATCCAGCTTGGCACCCCGTGGGGGACTTGAGACCAGCACTCGTCTCCCTGGTAGGGTCAGGGAATGATCTCCAGGGCCCAGGGGACAGGCCTGCAGACCAGATCCCATACACCCAGGCCTTGATCACATTGCTCGGGGGCACGTAAGGGATATTTGTGAACGAGACTACTGAGGAGTGCGTGCCTTCAAGGGCAGATAGCATCCTTGGGTGATTTTGTACAGTCTACAACACGCCTGGGCTGTATGATACAGCCCGTTGCTGTTAGGCTACAAACTGTACAGCATGTTACTCTCCTGAATGCTGTAGGCAATTGCAACACAGTCCTAAGTATTTGTGTTTCTAAACCTAGAAAAAGTATAGTAAAAGTAGGGTATAAAACAGGCACCCTCAAACTATAGCCCGTGGGCCACATGTGGGTGTCTTTGCCCATTTGTTTTTGTACTTCAAAATAAGATATGTGCAGTGTGCATAGGAATTTGTTCAGTTTTTTTTTTTTTTTAAACTATAGTCCGGCCCTCCAACGGTCTGAGGGACAGTGAACTTGGCCCCCTGTTTAAAATGTTTGAGGACCCCTGGTATAAAAGATAAAAACTGGTATACCTATATAAGGCACTTGCCATGAATGGAGTATATAAGACTCTTGCTTTGTGTTGAGCAATAAATGAACATGAAGGCCTAGTTAGGACGTTACTGAACACTAATGTAGACTTCATAAACACTGTACACTTAGGCTGCACTAAATTCATTTTTTTAAAAGTTTCTTCAATAATAAACTAACCTGAGACTTTATAAACACTATATACACTTAGACTACACTATGTTAATTTATTATTGAAAGAACTTTTTTTTAAATAAACTTTTTAACTTTATAAACTCTTGAATTTTTTTCTTAAACTTTTTGGCTATTTATTTATTTATTTTTGACGTTACGATGACCACGATGGAAATTTTCAGCTCTGTTGTAATTTTATCAGACCACCGTCAGATATTCAGCCCATCATGGATTGAAATGTTATGCAGCACGTGACTGCATAAGGTTTAGCTTCTGTGTCAGGTACTGCATCGTGTGCTTTACAAAAATTAGTTAATTTAATCCTCAGAATGATTCTGTAATGTTGACATTATGGTTGTCGTTCAAAGATGAGAATTTCAGGTAGTGACAAGTCAAGGAAATGACCCAGAACGATGCAAGTTCAAAGCCACGCAGCCAAGGTCAGACTCTGAGTCTGGATGGCTCCATAGACAGTAAACGCTTTTCAAAAGCCATTTCACCCCCATGACATAGAATGTCTCCTAATGGTGAGGTTGGTTGAATTGAAAGATTGTAAATACGTAGGTTCTTGATGTCATTAAGGCAGAGAATAAACCAGCTCTGGCATAGTTTAAAAAAAATAAGTATCCTTTAATACTGTGTGTGCTGTGTATTTGCAGGTGTGTGTACATGTTCAAAAATATGAGTGAGAATTCCAGAGTCAAATGAAAATGAAATGATCTCTCTTTCATTAATAACTGAAAAACCTAAGTAAGAAGTAAGATAGCACAGCTATCCCAGCATTCCTTGGGAAAGGGTCAAAGTGTCAAGCATCGAAATTAGCTTAGTTGACAACATTTATAAACTCTAAAATCACTCAGGGTTTATATTCTGTAACTCTCATTCTCTAAATAGTTTTTTAAACAAATCCTTCACAAACTAATCTCCAATAACTAATTACTTTGATACTAGAAGAACACAGCATAATTTATATTTGCTGAGATATTAATGTATCCTTTCTTATTGTGAATTTCCCCCAGGCAATATGAAGCAAGTACAACACATTTTAAAGTCATTTCACAGATCAAATCACTCAGAGATATGATATAATTAGTCTTATGACAGCACCGATTTAATTAAATTAGGGAGGAACAATTAATTAGATGACAAAAAGGATGAAAACATCAAAAATTAACATCCTGTTAACATTAATACGTCAAAATGAGAATGGCATTATGATACAAATATTTAAATTGATAAGATTCTCACAAAGAGCAAAAATTTGCTGTTGCAAGCATTGTGTGGCTGTGGCAGAATTAGAAAGTCTTTATGTTACAGGAACAGAAGAATTAAGTATTCCTCATAGTTTCCGTGAAACATTTTGCAAGATAAATTTAAGAAGGGAATATCTGTAATCTTAACCAAGATTTTCTTGGTATGTTTTTTTCCCCATACAATTCTCTTTTGTGTTTTGGAGATCACGTGCTCTTGAATATAATAGATTCAATGTTCTTAGCTACAATCTTAGCACAATAGAAATCTCAGTTTCACACACTTGATGAATTAATGTCTGCAAGTGACAATTTTATCAACCATCACCCAAGCAAGTCTCTGCTAGCTACGTTTGTTGAAGAGTGTTAATGAGTTAAGCTTATAGAGGTCTAATCACACACAGACCTTAACATTAATCACAGAGTAACGTAAGTGGAGTAAACTATGGAAATAGAAGAACTTCAGCATCTTCTTTTGCTTACAAATTAAAGATCTGATGTTATCCCCTCCAAGGAAAGCATCTTGACAGACCCAACATTCCCATAAAGGCTTTTGCTTTGGCTTTTCTATTTGTCTCAACTAATTGCCATAGAATGTCTCTAACTTTTTTTTCTTGCATGCCATTGCTGGGTGGTCCATTGAGAAGAAACTACCCGCATATTCCCCCATAAAAGAAATACAGGGGATGTCAGAAGGATAAATAGGAAATCAAGAGAAAAAGTTAGAGATGTTATTTACAGAGTAAGAGTCTCAAGTAACAATAGCAGTGGTAAAGTAATAGTGGTAGCAATGATAGTAGTAATAATAGAAAGACACACTAGAAACTTAAAGTATCTTTTTCTAATAAATTATAGGGTTGAGTGGCCAGAGTTAGATATGGACTAAAAAAATTGCCTTAATACCCCATCCTAGCCCCAAACAATTCATCTTGGTTAAAAATTAAAAGATGAGCAAAAGTATACTAGGCAAACACAAAAAGAAAGCAAAATTTCTGGTTTTAATATCAAAAAGATGTCATAGAACCCAAAAGTATTAATAATATAAATAATAATAAAAAATAATAAATAATATAAAAGATGACAATTCACAATAAAATAATAACAATTATAAGTATCTGTTAACCACAAAGCATAGCAGTAACATTTGTAAAATAGAAGTTTTGCGATGTAAGCACCAATAGACAAAACACCCACTTGAAATAGGAGAAATCATTAACTTCTATACTTGTACTTCTGGGTATGTTATCTCATAAACAGAGAATTTTAAAAGCCATAAAAGCCAACTTTGCTCAGTTTCATCCAGTACATTTGAAAAGTCAGATGAAAGTAAAAATTTTCTAGGAAAATAAGTTACTAAAACTAAAAAACAAAATTAAAAACCGAAGCAGACCAATTTCCTCACCTCCAAAAGAAATTCTTTTTTAAAGCTGTAGGTAAATGGGTTAAATTGCTACCCTTGCTGCCTCTATACAAAACACAACACACCAGGGTCAGATGAATTCGTGGGAGAATTTTAATAAACGTTTAATATGTCCAAATGAAGTAAAACTGTCAAAGAAGGTAGGGAAATGGACAACGTTCAATTTTCTTTTTAATTTCAGAACATTACAGGGTCTCAAATGTTTAGGGTGTGTATATTGCCTTGGCCCCACCCAAGTCAGAGCTTCAAGCGTGCCCATCTCCCAGATAATGCACTCCACACCCATTAGGTGTGTGTACACCCATCCCCCACCCCCCTCACATCTGCCCGACACCCCATGAATGTTATTACTATATGTGCACTTAAGTGCTGATCAGTTGATACCAATTTGCTGGTGAGTACATGGAATATAAAGAATGGTGCTCATAGATGAGTCATTTGAGGGATTTTTACATTTATACTAAAATATGTACACCATG